ACAATTTTAAAAAACTGTTTACAAGCCCAATTTGTCATAAAAATGAAGTTTTACTTCATTCACAATTTTAAAAAACTGTTTACAAGCCCAATTTGTCATAAAAATGAAGTTTTACTTCATTCACAATTTTAAAAAACTGTTTACAAGCCCAATTTGTCATAAAAATGAAGTTTTACTTCATTCACAATTTTAAAAAATTGTTTACATGCCCAATTTGTCATAAAAATGAAGTTTTACTTTTAAAAGGAGTATAGGCAAAGCTACAGATAAATATTAATCGGGGCCAGCTACTGCATAAATATAACTATTACCATCAACATGAAAAGAAAACTATTAGATTGCAGAAGCATATGGAATGAAAAAAAATCATTATTTCTAAAGTTCAGCAGAGGTTCTGGTATTTTGAAATGTGGTTTCATCTCTGACATTACATAGATCTTCAATGCTTTCAACATTGAATGACAAGGCAGAAACAGCTTTCCCAATATAGCCATCTCATTCAAAGATTTGGGGGAAGAGAGCAGAATTTGAGATCTCATGTACCATGGGCCAATCTGCTGGGGCAACCATTTCCCAAATCTCACAATCATAACTTATTCTTCCATTCATTTAACAATTCATGATTAACATATTGTAACTACCTGCAAAAAACAAGGCAGAAATGTGGCATGCATACCTTGTTCACTAGGGTCCAACTGTGACTTTCTGACAGTGAGGTCCAAGGGTGAGTCCTGGTCAGCCATGAGAAGTTTGCTGAGCACGGGATTTTGAGCTCTTGCACCTGCAGTGGATGAGGCAACCGGAGATGCTTTCAGCAGGCTTTGGTTCTTTGTGCTATTGGGCGAACTGGAGTCCTGAGTAGAGCTAGTTTTTGAGGTATATTCAGCAGCAAATTGCCGGATCATCCGCTGCATGATCTCGCGGGCCACTAAGGGAATGTTGGGGTCTGAGACCCTGGGACTACCTAAAACACATAAAATTTGAAATAGTAATACTGAGAAAAAAAAATTAAAATCTGGATTCTATATTTATAATCTACCTCCAAATATTTTTAGATTCATGTTCAATGATTTTAAAATGCCAGCTTAAGACTGACAAATTTTTTATTGTTCACTTGATCTGGACACTCCCTGATATCCATTGATTGTAGGTGGCTCACAGAGTAAAAACAAACAATAATATGCAATCCAGATAAAAATAATGAACAAGATGGCAAATCTGGCCAACCCTGCAAAGGGTTGCAACTACCCTAGCTTAAACTCTGAATGAAGAGCCAGGTCTTCAAAACACCCTGTAATGACAACAGAGAAGGGGGGGCACCTGGATTGGAGGAGGAATCTCATTCCACAAGGTCAGGCACATTTCTGGGATCGCAATAGATGATACTGTTTAATCAAAAGGACTGAAAACTTCTATAACTCATGAGGCAATTTCACAAATATCTGACAACGTAAAGGATTTAACTGTAACTTTGGAATACAAATCTAATGACAATCTTTGTTATGATGATGGTTTAAATACTACCCTCTTAGCACAACTGAAACAAGGTAAAGGTTTCCCCGTCCAGTCATGTCCAACTCTAGGGGGCACAGTGCTCATCTTTGTTTCTTGGCCAAGAGAAACAGCACTGTCCATAGACATTTTCTGTGGTCATGTGGTCATATCGCTATATGCCAAAGGCTCATGGGATAATGTCTCAAGCAAATCCAAAACTCTCAAGAGGGCAAATTTGGAGCGTTTTCTTCATGGATATTAACAAAGTTGAGAACTCCTTGAGAAAAAGAGACTTGATAGACACTTCAGAGAAGAAAGATTTATAAGGATAAGCTGGATGGAGTGACTTACATTTAATGAGTTAATTGGACTTAAGATGAATTTTTACAAGTCTGATATATGTAATTGAAAAAAAGCTCTGATGCAGTTTTGTGCTCATAAAGAGGGTCTGAAAATGTTTTTTATATATAAAATGCTTCAGTAATTCCTAAAGTTTGTAAAATATTATTGAATTTGAAAGTATGAATGTTAGGAAGAAATAAAAAAATATGCATTAGAAATTATTGATTTTAGAAATATTTTTAAATAAAAGTTTAACATTTGAAAATTGATGTTAAAAAGGTGTTTCCCCTTTACGGTTAAACAAGCTGAGACAGTGTAGAAAATTTTAATATAATTGATGACAGTTTATAAACACTAATAAGTATAAACAGAAATATATATCATCTCCCATAGGAAAAAAAGTAGAGATGGTTAAATTGATTGCTTTATTCAAAGAAAAGAACATATCTAATTTTGTTTCCATTTGAAAATTGCTTCTGGATTTTGTGCTTGTGATGAAAAAAAATGAGACTTTGATTTTGGTTTTGCTGATTAGATATATTTGTTGTTATAGAAATGGCTAATATACAGTACTGTGCAAAAGTTTTAGGCTGTAAACAAAGAATGCTTTCAGACATATAAATAATGATTGTTTATTTTTGTCCATTTTCAAAATGCAAAGTGAGCGAACAAAAGAAAAATCTAAATCAAATCAATACTTGGTGTAATCACCCTTTGCCTTCAAACCAGCATCAATTCTCATAGGTACACTTGCACAAAGTCAGGGATTTTGCAGGATTATAGTCAGGTGTATGATCAACCAATTATACCAAACAGGTGCTAATGATCATCAATGTCACACGTAAGTTGAAACCCAGTCATGAACTGAAACAGAAACAGCTGTGTAGGAGGCTTAAAACAGGATGAGGAACAGCCAAACTCTGCTACCAAGGTGAGGTTGTGAAAGACCGTTTCATGTCATGGCAAGATTGAACACAGCAACAAGACACAAGGTAGTTATACTGCATCAACAAGGTCTCTCCCAGACAGATTTCAAAGCAGACTTGGGTTTCAAGATGTGCTGTTCAAGCTCTTTTGAAGAAGCACAAAGAAACGGGCAACGTTGAGGATCGTAGACGCAGTGGTCGGCCAAGGAAACTTAGTGCAGCAGATGGAAAGACACATCAAGCTTATTACCCTTCGAAATCGGAAGATGTCCAGCAGTGCCATCAGCTCAGAATTGGCAGAAACCGGTGGGACCCAGGTACACCCATCTACTTGTCCGGAGAAGTCTGGCCAGAAGTGGTCTTCATGGAAGAGTTGCAGCCAAAAAGCCATACCTCCAACGTGGGAACAAGGCCAAGCGACTAAAGTATGCACGAAAACATAGGAACTGGGGTGCAGAAAAATGGCAGCAGGTGTTCTGGACTGATGAGTCCAAATTTGAAATATTTGGCTGTAGCAGAAGGCAGTTTGTTTGTTGAAGGGCTGGAGAGTGGTACAATAATGAGTGTCTGCAGGCAACAGTGAAGCATGGTGGAGGTACCTTGAACGTTTGGGGCTGCATTTCTGCAAATGGAGTTGGAGATTTGGCCAGGATTAATGGTGTTCTCAATGCTGAGAAATACAGGCAGATACTTATCCATCATGCAATACCATCAGGGAGGTGTATGATTGGCCCCAAATTTATTCTGCAGCAGGACGATCCCAAACATATGGCCAAAGTCATTAAGAACTATCTTCAGCGTAAAGAAGAACAAGAAGTACTGGAAGTGATAGCATGGCCCCCCACTGAGCCCTGATCTCAATATCATCTGGGATTACATGAAGAGACAGAAGGATGTGAGAAAGCCTACATCCACAGAAGATCTGTGGTAGTTCTCCAAGATGTTTGGAACAACCTACCAGCCAAGTTCCTTCAAAAACTGTGTGCAAGTGTACCTAGCAGAATTGCTGCTGTTTTGAAAGCAAAGGGTGGTCACACCAAATATTGATTTGATTTAGATTTTTCTTTTGTTCGCTCACTTTGCATTTTGAAAATTGACAAAAATAAACAATTATTATTTATGTTTCTGAAAGCATTCTTTGTTTACAGCATTTTTTCACACCTGCCTACAACTTTTGCACAGTACTGTAAATCCTGTAAAAGTAAAAGGTTGAAGCTGAAAAGTTATTTTCTTCTACTGTGCTAAAGAGTCGGAAATCAACGCCTTTTTTCTTCTTCTCCTTCTTCTTTCTCCCTCCCTTAGTCTCCCAATATTTTCACTTTCTTTGTATTTTATATTCTGATAAATTAATAAAATTTTAAATAAAAAAAAGAATCTGGAAATGATTGATGGATTGAACCCTGCTGGATTGAATTAGCCAGACTTGCCCACTTAATGAGCTGTCATAAGGAAAACTGACATAATATATAAGCTGTGAATACTTGAAATGTGCTAAGTAAAAGCTATTGTTATTAGTACTGGTAGTCCTCGACTTACAACCAGTCGCTTCGCAGCCATTCAAACATAAGGTACTTATGTTTGAATGGCTGCAAAAGGTACTCCAAAAGATACTTATAATCCGCATTCGAAGTTCCAACAGGCACATGACTGCATTTTGGGTTCTCGGCAAATGGGCTGCATTTATAGCCATTTGCAATTCCCATGGTCAAGTGACCAAAATTTACAATGCTGTTTAATAGAAATGGGCGTTTACTTGCAGTTTACAGCATAAAATACCCATTGCAAACAATGGGTTTTCTTTACAAATTTCACATTCACTTAATGACTTCTGTAAAAAATGTCAGAAAATTGGGTGATTTACAAAGTGCCTCAACTTATGACTTTCATGATATATGACAGAAATGTTGGGCTCTATTATACTCATAAGTCAAGGACTACTTGTAATCCTACAAATTATTTTTATTTCTTATTAACATTTAAGAGGGACATTCATTAGTGCTGCTACCTCGTAGTCAAGTTAATGTCACAATTTTGCCAAATCAATCATTTAACAATCCCATTATTTTCAGTATTTTATTTTTTACTGTTTTTTTATATACATTTATAAATTTCAACTCTGTACAACAAAATTACAGTTAAATAAACAAACATATATGTGATAAAAACATAGCAGCAATACCAGCAACAAAAACAAGTTTCATTGTATCTTGTTAAAGGCTTGAAAATACTACTAGGAATTTATCAGAAAACAAGTAAGGTGGGTCTTAAATAAGTATATATTTCAACCTCTCACATTATTATAAGCAGAACTTGGAAATACAAGTAATCCTTGCTAACTAATGGCAATTGTGACCAGAAACTGTCTCACTAAGCAACACAGTCATAAGATGCAATGTCATATGACTGTGCCAACTTATGATGGTAGCTGCAGCAGTTCTAGTTGCTGTCCTTAGGCAATCCTAACGAGGATCCCGCAGTCACAACATTGCCATTTGGAACCTCCTGACAATTTCCCCATTGACTATGCTTGTTGGAAGACAGCAGTAAAGGTTGCAAATGGAAATCATATGAAAGTGGGATGCTGTAATGTTGTACTTACAAGCCGTTTACTGAACACCTGAATCACAATCATGTGACCATGGGAATGCTGCAACAGCTGTAACTATGAGGACCCATAACTCCTCTTCGTTGAGTGCTGTTATAACTCTGATTGATCACTGCATGAGTGGACATTAACCAAGAATTACTTTACTTCTTTTTCAGAAAACAAAGCAGATTAAGCATTTTGGTATGCAAAATAGGAAATGCCATTTCCCCCCCCTAGTATTTTTTCCCGAAGTGTAGGAAAAATGCATGCACTTTTTTCAGAATTGAATCTTGATCTGTTGGTTGAGATGGAATTGCCTGATTCTGATGCCATGGGTTGAGAGAGAGAGACTGGCCCAAAGTTATCCAGCTAGTTTTTAGGAATAAGAACTTGCAGTTTCATGCTTTCTAGTCTGGTGCCTTAACTATTAAACCAAACTGGCTCTATGTAATACCACAAATAGACCCAAACAAATATTCAGTTTATAGTATATTTCTATTTTGTTAAAAAAAATTGCACCAGGAATTCTATGGAGTGTTTGGATGAGTAAGACCAAATCAGTTTGTGCAATATTTATTAATTTGTGAATCTGCATGCTAAAACCTCACATAATGCTATCAACTAAAACAAGGCACTTGTGGACGGATGAGGGAGGAAAGCAGGCTGTGATAAATAAGGGTCATAAATAAGAAAAGAATTTCAGTGATGGAATAACATAGGTCAGTGATAATGGAAGACAGACATAAACAATACTCAACTTTCTCTTCATCCTAGACAGGATAGATTGGGAAATTTCGGCAACTCACACATGTTCAACAGTCCATAAAAATATATGCACATTTTCATACTCCTCCACACACTAATTCAACATTCAAACAGAAAACCTTTATCCATTTATTTATTCCTGCTCCCAAATGGCTGCTTATGCCTTGCTTTTAATTAACGAACTGGGCAATGTGGAAAAATGAACAGAAATGCAGTAACTATATTCAAGTGTTGCAAATATCCTGTGGGTTATCTATATATGCTTTATCATAAGTGAAACACAAAGGAAGTAATTTGAAGAACAAAGAAAAAGCAAAACTACAGTAGTACTTTGGTTCAGTCAAAAAATTATGTGTTCCCCGAAGACATTGTGAAGGATAAGATGAAGGGCAGCGTTGAAGGTTGAGACAGACAGAAACATGGTCAGGAACTACCAATTTATTCATACATTAAATCTCTGTGATCAAATAATTTTATCCAAAAGAATTGGTGAAATACGCCATACTAGGACATTGCAGAAGCTGAGAGGACAGATAAATGGGAAGACAATGGGAAGATGAGGGACAGAGATATGTCACCACATTAACACTAAGTAGTAGATGAGAGAGCAGAGGAAAGGAAGGCACTTGGAAGATCGGGGAATGTGCAGGCCAATAAAATATCCTACATTGGGTCAGAGAAAGCAGAGGAAAGAAAGAAGGGAAGGGAAGCATAGAGATTGAAAAAGTTGGAGACCAGGAAGACTATTGGGATAGCACTGGCAATTGATAAGCAGAGGGGAGGCACCAAATATTTTACTATTGCAAAATAAATATTAAAAATTAATGAATTGAACCAATACATTAAATATTTCTTTTTTATTAAGTCCAACCTTTTCGATAAAAGACTTCATGGAGGAATTCTTCTGCTTGCCTCTCAAACCAAGTGATCTTTGTTTGCTCTTGTTTAAGCAGAGCGTGATGCCCAACTTCCAATGCTGGATCATCCAGACTGACGAAATGTTCCTGTGAAAACATTTAACAAAAGAATAAAAACAAAATACTGCTTCTCATTGTTAAATTTAATAAAACAACCACAATACTATTCCCATAGTCAAGCATTTATTATGCAAGTATACATATCAGTTTCACTGTTTGAGTTGCTATGTTACTACACAACTTCTATCAACTTACTAAAATCATTTCTAGATGAAGGTGTTCTATCTCTAATATCTAGGATGGACAACCTGTGCCACTAAGGCAGAATGCAAACCAGATCATAACATCATTAATTCAATTCCCATTCCCTATGCTAGGCTAGGTTATATACTATACTATACTATCGGTAGTCCTAGACAAATGACTACAATTTCTGTTGTTAAGCAAGACAGATTTTAAGGGAATTTTGCCCCATTTTATGATCCTTCTTGCCACAGTTAAGTCAAGAGTAAGGTTCTACATTTAGGCAAGAAAAACGAAATGCACAGGTACAGTATAGGTGGTACCTTGCTCAACAGTAGTAACTGTGAAAGGGATCTTGGAGTCCTAGTGGACAACCATTTAAATATGGGCCAGCAGTGTGCAGCAGCTGCCAAAAAAGCCAACACAGTTCTAGGCTGCATAAACAGAGGGATAGAATCAAGATCATGTGAAGTGTTAATGCCACTTTATAATGCCTTGGTAAGGCCATGCTTGGAATACTGCATTCAGTTTTGGTCACCACGATGTAGAAAAGATGTGGAGACTCTAGAAAGTGCAGAAAACGGCAACAAAGATGATTAGGGGACTGGAGACTAAAACATATGAAGAACGGTTGCAGGAATTGGGTATGTCTAGTTTAATAGAAAGAAGGACTATGAGAGACATGATAGCAATCTTCCAATCTCAGGGGTTGCCACAAAGAAGAGGGAGTCAAGCTATTCTCCAAGGCACCTAAGGGTAGAACAAGAAGCAATGGGTGGAAACTAATCAAGGAGAGAAGCAACTTAGAACTGAAGAGAAATTTCCTGACAGAACAATAAATCAGTGCAACAGCTTGCCTCCAGAAGCTGTGAATGCCTCAACACTGGAAGTCTTTAAGAAGATGTTGGATAGCCATTTGTCTGAAACGGTATAGGGTTTCCTGCCTAGGCAGGGGGTTGGACTAGAAGACCTCCAAGGTCTCTTCCAACTCCGCTATTGTATTTATGTGATCAACATTTGGGACATTCTGAAAACCAAAGCCATTGGTTGTTAAGTAAATCTGGCTCCCCCATTGACTTTGCTTTTCAGAATGTCCCAAAAGGTGATCATATGACACTGCAATAACAGTTCTTATTGTCAGGAAATTTCTTATTTCCAGGTAATTTCCCACTAATTGCTTCTTGTCCTAAAGAGAAGCACCTCCTCCTATTTCTAAACTACTGAATTAAAACATTACTTTGATTTTAAAAAGTTGTTTGATCATCACAAGATAGTACCAAAAAAAAAAAAAGCCAGGGAGGGGAGTTTGGCAGAGAGCAAAAAGGCATTGCAGACTGCACCGGACATCCTCTCAGGCTGCATTTCTTGTAATCATGATCTAGAGAAAACAAATAATCTAGGCACATTTCAAGATGTGTTCACATTACATGTTTGTTATGCATGTAAATGTTCTGATACCTTCAGTCAAGGGTGAAATTACCCAATAGTCCAGATTTTATGGCAACTGTGGCAAAATTATTATCTGAAAATCCAACCTTAAGTGCACAACGAAATTCAGTGTATTACTATTCTTGTTCTTAATTTACATTTGGATTTAATAAAATCTTTTTGTTAAATTTACTGCAGCTTTCTATCTACCAAATCTCTAGTGATGGACAGAACATTTGAAAGGGCCAATTTGTGCAGATAACATAAACCTTTAGCCATAGTTAATGCCTGATTTTCAAGGAAGAATAAAAAGAATGAAGAGAGCCAATCTAATGCAGTGGTTCAGGGGCTGCCCTAAAAACCAGGAGACTCTGAGTTTTAGTCCTATCTTAGGCATGAAAGCCAGCTGGATTTCTTTGGGTCAGATGTGCTCTTTCAGCCCAACCTACTTCAAAGAGTTGTTGTGGGGAAAATAGGAGGAGGAAGTAGTATTATGAATGTTTGCTCCCCTGAGTTATTTTTTAAATAAAGGTAGGATAAAAGTCAAATGATTAAATAAATTAATTTAGATTTGAGATATTGCAAATGACAAATCTGCTCCTTTAAAGAAATGACCGTATCCGACATACCCTTTCTCTCCATTAATCAGCAGTGAATTAATCTATTAAAATTAAAAAAAAATGTAAATATTTACTGGACCAAAACAAAACAAATGAAATATAATGTAATGATTCAACTTAATTCAAATATATCATTCCTCACATTATATTTCTGAAGTTTACAAGAGAACTATTAAAGGTACAAGAACTACTGTAAATAGCATGTAAAGTATAGAGAATATTAAACGCCTGGAAGATTAATAATGGAATAGTGCTGGGAATCAAATTTAAAGAAAATGAACAATGCTAAAACAGGCAGGGATTTATAAATGTATTAAATACTAGGGCTGGATATAAAAAAAAAGTACGCTATAGAGGTAGGACACCTAAATAAAGATTTTTTTGGACAAGTAGTCCAAGGAAGCTTGCATAGATCATTTAAAGATGGGTAATTATAGTAGCCTGTCAACTGCAGACAGTCTGGAAGAAGCATATCATTCTGACCCATTTCAAAGTAGAATACAGTATTGAAATTCCTTTGTCAGTTTGACAGATCATTGTCTGGAAAACCAAGAGAAAACATGGTTCCTCTGCTGGTTCTTTTTAATTTCTAAATGTGTTTTCATACCAACAACTCTGGTATCCTTCAGACTTGCTGTGAGATTTGGAAATATAGAATAGAATAACAGAGTTGGAAGGGACCTTGGAGGTCTTCTAGTCTAACCACCTGTCTAGGCAGGAAACCCTACACCACTTCAGACAAATGGTTATCCAGTATCTTCTTAAAAACTTCCAGTGTTGGAGCATTCACAACTTCTGGAGGCAAGTTGCTCCACTTATTAATTGTTCTAAGTGTCAGGAAATTTCTCCTTAGTTCTAGGTTGCTTCTCCTCTTGATTAGTTTCTACCCATTGCTTCTTGTCCTACCCTCAGGTGCTTTGGAGAATAGCTTAACTCCCTCTTCTTTGTGGCAGCCCCTGAGATATTGGAACACTTCTATCATGTCTCTCCCAGTCCTTCTTTTCATTAAATTAGACATACACAGTTGGTGCATCCATTCTTCATATGTTTTAGCCCAGTTCTCTAACCATCTTTGTTGCTCTTCTCTGCACTCCTTCTAAAGTCTCCACATCTTTTTTACATCGTGGCGACTAAAACTGGATGCAGTATTCCAAGCGTGGCCTTACCAAGACATTATAAAGTGGTATTAACACTTCACGTGATCTTGATTCTATCCCTCTGTTTATGCAGCGTAGAATTGTGTTGGCTTTTTTGGCAGCTGCTGCACACTGCTGACTCATATTTAAATGGTTGTCCACTAGCACTCCATGATCCCTCACACAGTTACTACTATTGAGCAAGGTACCACCTATACTGTACCTATGCATTTTGCTTTTCTTACCTAAATGTAGAACCTTACTTTTTTCACCATTGAATTTCATTTTGTTAGATAGCACCCAAGGTCAAGTCTGTTAAGTCTTGACAGTCGCGCTGACCGATGATCTCTGGAGAGCCAGGAATGGCGGTCATGCCTCCATCCTAGTGTTCCTTGACCTCTCA